TTTTTTTTTTTTGTGGAACCGGGGATTGAACTCAGACCCTTGCACTTGCTGGGGAAGCACTTATTCCACTGAGACATCTCCCCGGCCCTTGTTAATATAATCTTAAAGAAGAACTGAACCAACTACTTGATTAGAAGACCATTTATTGTTTTGGAACAGAAGAACCAGCGATTGGAAATGATCATTTGAAGGATAAAAGAGAATCTAGATAGCATGAGAACATAGAGGGGAGTTAGTATCAGATTGAACTCACATTTACATTATAAAGAACTTAGAGGGCTGGGGACTTAGGTCGGTGGTCCAAGCGCTTGTCTGGCAAGCACAAGGATCTGAGTTCTATCCATGGTACCATATGCAGTGCTGGCCCAGGAATCCCAGGCCCGCCGTGCTGGCCACAAAGCACACCTGTAATCTCAGTGCTGGGGAGGCTGAAATAGAAGGATCACTGTGAATCTGAACTGTGTAGCAAGACTCTGTATCAAATAAATAAATACATTTAAAAAAGAATTTAGAATATCAGAGTAGAATTTCAAAGTGAAAAGTATTAAACAGAGGTCAAGGATGAATGCTCTTTACTATCACTATGATTTTTCATGGTGAGAAATCCTTAGATGCTGCAAGTCTGTGGTGGTATAACATAAATCATTCACATTCCAAATATTACTTAAAGACTTAAATATAACAATAGAGGAGGAAAAGACATAATAACAAATAATCCAAGAAAGGCAAGGCATTGGGTGACATTTAGCTGGCTATAAGACAATATTTATAAACATCTTCTGTAACTACACTGATTTGAGATTTATTCATCTCCAACCCATCTTATCAGTCTTTATTAGAACACTGATTCAAAGAGTGATGATGTGGGTCAGCATCTCAAACCCCTAAATGCTCTCTTAATATTTTCTTTTTTTATTTTTATATTTTCTTTTTTAATGGTTTAGTTTTACCCTGAGATGAGTTAGAGCTAAAAATGAAAGTAAAAATATATACTGCCTTGTGGTTATTCAGGGTTTCTGTTCTTTTTCTGCCTTCCCACCAACCTTCTAAATTCAGACAACTAGAGAAAAGTGTGGGTGCTGCTAAAAGGGACACAAGGTATGGGATTGTGCTAGCTCACTATCCACCAGCTCTGGGAAGAAAAAATCGTCATCCTGACTCCAGAATTAGTCTGTGACACATGCCAAGAAGAATATCTCATTATTCAAAGTAGAAAGTGGTACATGAAGCTACTTCCCTGATACCTCCTTCAAAGGTTCTACAATAAGGAATGAAGTCTTAGGAGAAGTGACAGAAAGTCCCAACCTTTGGGATTTCCACAGAATGCTACATTTTTTGCTCACCAGCCATTCTCAATGTATACCAGATACCAGAAACACACAGCACATCCAAACATGCACATGTATACAACAGTGAATGGACCTGAACTTGCAATACACCCTCCACTGGACTCTGGGATTTCTAAGATAGTGTAGATCACTTTTCTCTAGAAACTAGCTCATCCATCTTTATATTTAAGTGTGTATTAGCTAACACACTTCCTTGCCATCGTTTTAAGAAGTTGACAGGAGAAATACAAGATAGAGATCTTTAACTATATACATGTTGACTAAAAACATGCTTAGTTTATATAGTGTTTACACATAACAGCCTCCAGTAGTGATGACATTACAAAGTGCTGTAGACAGTGAATGGGGCACTCTCCAGTAAGACCCTGTCTTTACCATATGAGGGTAATGGGAAGAGGAAGAAAAAAAAGAGAGAAGTAAAATTGAAATTAGGAACTATACACACATTTTTTTTTCTTAGCGAGATAGCTCTCAAGCTTTAGCATATTAGAACTTCCTAGAACAACTTCCCT